GATTGAGGTTAACTCTTCCTGCCTTACTTTTTAGTCAATTAGCCCTACTGGGTAAAAACCTAGTCAACTGAATTTCACTATCATGCACTTCTGCCATTAAACATGTTTCTGAGATAGCGATATCCACCATTGTCTCGAGATCTGCCATTTTACTTTGCAGGCTGCGAGAATTTGTTTCGCACACTTAACTGTGTGAAGAACTTTCCCTTACCACACAGAGTGATTTGAGGGTCGTTTTGCCCCGATCTTTTACAATTTGAAAACTCTTAAGTGTAGAGTTTGTTCACCGTTTCATCTGCGCTCACTTATTTCTACTTCTTTCAACAGTCTACTTATACAGTCAACCAGGATGAGATCTTCACGGACATATATTCCGCACCCAGTCAGTCTGTGTGAGTTTTCCAGCATCATGTTTCCTCAGCCGTAGCAAAATTAACTTTTAGGAGGCAGCTTTTCTGCGTACTTTCAGAATCCACCTGTCTTCCCATTCTATGAAGCTTGCAGATGCTAAATCGTGATACTATTTTTCGGAGGGGCTATGTTCAGCAGCTCAATCGCCTCAAAAACCAGCAGGGACTTTGTAGAGCGGCATGCTTTGTACAGCCAACGTGATAGTAGTTTGCAGTATGTTTTGTGTGCCGCCGGTGTTTAGTGGTCTCACAGAAAGGCCAAACAAATCTGATCTCTCGAATAAATGTCATTTAAAGCTTTATGGGTGATAGACAATGAACACAAAAACAGGGGTTTGTATGTTGCTGTAACTGACAACAATAAGAAAATCCGACCGAAATAGGCATAAAAAGACATTATTACTTTTGGATACAAATAATGCTAAAGGATATACTCAACGAGGAAAACACTACTGCCCTTGTTTATCTGTACTCAAAAAGTGCAGATTACAAGTTACCTTAGAATGAGAAGATACACTTAGCGATTACTTTAACTTAAATAAATTCAATTAAAGCAAAAACTGTAGTCTTGATGCGTAATTAGACGATCAATATTACAAAATTTACTCATAGAGGCTATATAAAAGACAATTATCGAAAACTTGTAAACTACTTTTCTACATGATCTTCCATAATCACAAATTCCATAAGTTTTTTACCGGTGTAGACTTTATAAGAAGGCTTTGAGGACCTTCAAAGCTCCATAAAATTCTGGAAAACAACAAATCAGTCGTGAAGCAAACAAATAAACCTAGTTATCATTATCAAATTCAATAAGTCAATCAAATGTACCTATAAGTGTCTTATTTATAAACAGTGCTATTTATTAGTGATTTCGGGTTCCGTTAATAGAAATTCATTATTATTATTAATATTATTATTACTATTATTATTATTATTATTCACAAACATCTTATGGGTACATAAGTGTTGTGAAGAAACCATTTTAGGTTTCTTCAAAAATGCAATAATACACAAGTTTCAATAATGTTAGCATCATATTTGCCATTTTTGAAAAAGAGAGTAATAATAATAGAATAATAATAATAATAATAATAATAATAATAATAATAATAATAATAATATATCAGGTTCTGTGTAATTGAGAAGATTATTGAATTGACTTTAAAGAAGGAAAAGGAGAAAGTAAGGCATTCGAAATAAAGGAGACGTGAAACACTTAAATAGTTTATTAGGCGTGTTTATGAACACAGAATGAGAATGAACGACTATGTATGTATCGTCGAATTAGTAACAAAAAATAATTAAGGAAAAAATAACTTAATATCGCAGTAAGATATGACACTAGAATAAATGTTTGTGCAGTCATAGTTTGGAGTGATGCTATAAAAGTCACAATTAAGTGAAAAGGATAATCAAATATCAATATATATGAGTTATATATGCATAGTGAAGATTAAACGAGTCTGAGAAGTTAATTTAAGTGTTGGAGAAGATTTGTAGCTCAGGCATCGTTCGACTTATGACGAAAATGTGACTGATTTATGTGGTACTTATAGTAATGTTATGCACAGTTCCTTGTTTCAACCTACATTTTACAAACAGCTATGAACATCCAAGTTCAACACCACCATAATTAAGGAGGTGAATGATATGCAAATGCTTTCACAGCTCATTTTTGCATATAACTCCGATATGGCTAAATAGATGACTAACATGACCACAACTCATAAACAATTAGAAAAGAACGTTAGTGTCCACTCGTCAGGATAGCCAAAAGCAACATATGCCTATATAGTACGTGCTTTCTGTTATTAAGAATCCACCATCTATTGATGATTTTGTCTTCCACATTAAATGTTATTTATCTCCACAAATTATCTTATATAACGTGTTGTTAATTTAACAATGTTTGTCTTATTGCTGAGTTTCATGGCCAGAAAGGAGATATGAATGTTAGAAATTTGTGATTTAGGTTGGATTGCAATGGTTCTGCGTTGTGCCTCTGCTAACTGTCAGTAATAACAGAACAAATACTACATTGAGTGATCACTACATTAAATTAAAACGGGAGTAATGTTGAACAAAAATCATAGTGAGTAAATCAATCAATCCCGTCATATCAGTTCAGTTGATTGATTTGTAGTCAGTTGTATGATTAAACCGAATTCTTTGAGCAACCCTTTCCTCTATTTTTTTCTTAGTTATCTGCGCGTCTATCTAACTGTTAATCTTATTTCTTCTCTTTATCGATCCAAAACAAATTAAGACGTAATATTTAAATAACATCTTGAACAGTTTGATCCCATTTTAGTTCACTGATGATTAGATCAGTTTAATGCAATTCTAGATTTATTTCATTCTAGTAAGATTGTTGAATATTCAGTTACCAGTGTTATTCCTACCATAACAAAATTACTGGTGAACCTCCTACTAGTTTCAATATAAGTCCGATACAGTTATTAAGAGTTATAGTTCCTATTGAAGTTAACAAGTACTCAGGTGGGGAAACCAACTTATTGTAGGGCTAAACTGTAAGCATGAAATATATTCTTGTGGTACTTCTCCTACTTAACTTCTTATACCACTGTTTCACAGTGAGATTCACCAAAGTATAGTGTGTAAAATTAAATAGGGAATTATATACAACTGAAGTGGACAAGGAAACAACACATTCACTACATAGTACTAATTATTATCTGGAGATAAACTTTCTGTTGGTAGTAATACCAACACTAAAATACTACAACTAATACTTCATCCTCTTCAAAGGCTAAAATATTAATCTCATTGTACATACTAAAACATGAATATTTTATTGATCTACAACCAATGTTAACTTAGAAGTTTTCCGTGCCATGGATACTGAATATCTAACTACAGTAATTTTGAAAGTTAACAAATTTTCAAAGATTTAGCCTCTAAAAATCGGTTAAACTTATAAATTAATTTTTCATTTATACAGCCTTAAAAAAGAAATTCCCATATCCAATTTGATTCAAGAATTGTTTATATTCATGATGCATCAACATAGATTGAATTATCAGAATGGGTTTTGTGGAGATTTTAGAATTTTCACAGCTTTTGAAATCATGAGTCAGTTGAAGCTAGACCACCATTGAAAACCTGGAAGCACTGGACGGCCGTTTCGTCCTGGTATGGGACTCCTCAGCAGTGCGCATCCACGATCCCGCACCACGCGGGGCTCGAACCCAGGACCTACTGGCTTCGCGCGCGAGCACTTAACCACTAGACCACAGAGCCGGCATCCAACGGTGTTAATGTCTAACTTCAACCAATCCACGAAGTTGCGCCACCGTACACCATTGTCTTCAGTGAGTTACTATCTCACAACAGACCGGTTGAACTCCACTGGTAACGGCTTCTCACTAGAACTTCAGGAGTTTTTTCTTGAAGTCAGTCACTAGTGAGCAGTTGATTATTATTATCAGAATGGGTTTTGTGGAGAATTTTTAGAATTTTCACAGTTTTTGAAATCATGAGTCAGTTGAAGCTAGACCACCATTGAAAACCTGGAAGCACTGGACGGCCGTTTCGTCCTGGTATGGGACTCCTCAGCAGTGCGCATCCAAAATCCCGCCTGGCGAGATTTGAACCCAGGACCTATCAGCCTCGCATGCAAGCTCTTAACCACTACACTACTGAATCGGCATCCAATGTTTTTAATGTCTAAATTCGATCAATCTCTCTTCCAGTGCTTCCAGGTTTTCCATGGTAGTTTAGCTTCAATTGATTTATGAAATCAACTATTGAAATTACTATAATATTTACAAGATCTCCACTCTGAATATAATTTTAGTTAGAAAAAACATTCTCGAATGATCAACAACAATAACAAAACAACCGTAAAAGATATTTATAATAAATTTATTGTTTACAAGAAAGTGGTAAACAGATTATATAATAGTATGTTACTTATTAGTTAATATTGTAAAATGCATTGGAGATCTAAATGAAAAGCATCTCAAATAAGTGTCTACCATTTTATTTACTGCACCAACAGAATTATATATATAGTTATTACTATTACTATTATCATTGTTATTATTATTAAGAGAATATTCAAATGCAACACTATTGTTTATTTTATGCAAACTTACTCATATAACAATGAATACAACTTAATAAAATAGAAACAATAGTGAAACGTTATGTAATAAATAGATGAAATGATTTTTGTGTAGTAAACTTGAAATACAATAATAATAACGTTTTCTACATTGTTTCCTAAAGTTAACTTTAAAGATAACTCTTCCATTAAACTTAATTGAAAATCAATAAAAAAAAAGAAAAAAAAATCGATCATATTTGATTGAATGAAATTTTCTCAATAAACGTTTTTCTTCTTTTTTGATTTTCTTCAGCTTTTGTTTTCTTTTATTCTCTTGAAATACTTATGATATTTCATGATATAAATAATCCATTTCTAATGAATTAATTATTTAATTCAGATTATTAACTATTTTAATAACTAATTTATACTTTATACACATTATGAGTAGATCTTAATTAATTGTTGTGCATTTATATTGTAGATTATTGTAATAAGGATTATGTAATGTCATATAATTAAGGCGAATCCTCATCACCATCGTTATTGTCATCATCATCATCATCATCATCCAAATCATCATCTTCATCATCATCATCATCATCATCATCATCATCATCCAAATCATCATCATCTAACTTTTCTATTAATTTTGATTTACATTAAGATTAAATCTATTCAAAGAATTCATTTGTCAATGTATCTATATTGATGCAATAGAATAAATGTAAAATAAGTGTAATATATTGTTATACACAAAATTTCATGCAATAGATATGATTAATTATTTTTTTTTAAAATTTACACAGAAATAAAAGAACATGTTTTATACAAAATTCATAATTGAAATGAATAACTGTAATGTAAATTGCTTTTTTCTATGACACTTTATAATCACGTCTATATTTAGAATAAGGTCGTAAAGATAAAGAATATGATGGTTTTTGATGAATAGATGAAGGAATTTGAGCATTAATTGATGATTGCCATTCACGATGAATTGTTGGTATTTCAAGTGTTTGTTTAGGACGAAATACACTAAGAAGTTTTGTTGGTTCACGAAATTTTTCACATCCTCCACGATTTTCTCTTCTACGAAATCGTATTAATCTACGTTTCCAACTTGTACGCCATGGTAAAATTGCAGTTTTTGTTGAAAATAATAATTCATTTCTTATTTTATTTGTGAAACTTTCAAAATCTGTTACTATCAGATATGAAACACCTAATTCAATATATGGACATTTACATTTTAATTCATTTAGACGAACCCATACAGGAACTAATTCATTTGATTTTCTTTTCATCTCTTCTTCATGTTCATCTTGATTATATTGTTCAAACTCAATAAAAGATTTAGATGCAGGCCAGTAAATACTTGAACTTCCTTTAAAAAATTCTTTATTAATTCTCCAAATTTGTGTAATATGCATTTCAAAACGAGTCATATTTCCATGAAGTTCACGGGATTTGAATGAAGCTTCAAAAACTATAGTTGAAGTGGATAAGGAACGAAAATAAGTTTATTTGAAAAAGACTATAGGTTGACAATAAATCATTATATCAACGTTGTAAAATTACAAGAAATTTAAGCATATAACTATCAAGTGCCATTGTGGTGTGTGCTACTCATACTGATATAAGTAGTATATGACGCGAGTTAAAAACGTAATGTCTGGCAGCAGAAGATGGGGGGAAGATCAAGAAAAGAAGAACGGGAACGCAATGCGATTTGTAAGAAAACACATGGACCATAAAATGTGAGACAATGGATTAATGATTGCAACAGCAGCAGTCCGGTTTGATATGATGGAATAATATTTTGCAATTTAACGATTTACTATTTCTTTTTTTTATTTTACCAAGTATTTCTGTAAATTCGTGCTAACTACATTCGGTTGATATAATTTAATTGATAATGAGATGGGGGAAATGTAGTTTTATTGACTGTATTTTATCTTTCGTTTTCAACTTTAATTTCTCATCTGTTTTCAAGAAAGTAAATCATGAACATAATATCACAGTGAAACGTTTAGTCTATGAACGACAGTTTTTGTCTTCTTTTTGATACTGCATTAAATAGTCGATGGCATGTCTTTTTTTCTTAAATCTATTGTCTAGTAATTTCAGGTTCGATGTCATGAGAAAGTATATATATTCAAACATTTGAGTCAATTATAAAAATCATTTCTAAAATTTATTAATCGTTCCTTTTATCATACCATATACCAACGGAGTAAATATCTCTTATTTTCATTTAGATAGATAAGCATTGCATGATGTCACTTGAATTATAAACATTCTTATTTGTTTTCAGTATGAAGCACAATTATGTGTAAGAAGAACGTAAGTATCATTACCAAGGTCTGACTTAATAACTTTAAAGAAACTTAGTGTTAGATAGATTGTTAGTAATAAGATTAATGAAATATAGGTCAATATGAAAACATATCTAGATGAACAGTTAACAAAGGCACTAATTGATCATATGAGTAGATGAAACACTTAGTTATTATTTCTATAATTGTCGTAGAATTTGAAGGTATTTCAATTGAGTTTAGGCTAACTACTTAGGAATATTTGTAAAAACCTATACTTTATTCATTCTAAACTATTGCACTTGTTGGTAACCTGTCGGTAACCACCATATTAAAAGTGATCGTCAAGCTTAGAAAGCAATTCAATCATCAAGACAATTCTTTTTTGAATTTTTAATTTTAATAAGTTTATCAGTCACAAAACAGATGTCATAACTTTTAGTGTAATTCCTAAACATATTGAAATAAAATAGAACTTGTTTTTTTAAAAACTTCCTCAATGTTCTATTTAGTTACAATGACCGTACTGGATCTACGCTACGTCGTGGTAACTTAAAAACGATGTCAAGTATCTCACTGTTATTAAGTTAGTACTTAATACGAAAGAAATATGTAAACGGTTAAAACAAGGCTATATAAGAAAGGTTAATTAAGACAAGGAGTATGATTTTATGTCTTAGGAAATGTAGGCACTGTTTGAAGACTAATTTAATACACAGTGTAAAGAACTAATTTTGAGTGACTTCTAGTTCTGGCCAAGTGAGGAATTGAGAACTAAAGATAGATAACATTATGCATATAGTAAATCAATATAAATAATTCTCGATAGACTACCATTCAATCCTTCAGTTCCTCATAAAACAATCTCTTTTCGAAAATCCCTAATCCTTTTTTTCTTTTTTAGGTAAGTCTGTCAGGTATGTTTAATACTCCTTGACAATTTCACAATGATCAATTTATTATGTAAATGAAATTTGCACTACAGACTGATCACAACAAGAAAACCTCTGATAAACCATCAAGTTATTCATAGATTTATATTCCCAATAGTTATGCAGATAATATTTGTTCAGAATAAAATTTACCATCAAACTGTAATCAGCATTTTCTTTTTAGACAAACTAGATAATATTTTGATAATGATGTATGTTTTATTTGGTAAAAATGATCGGTATTTTATCCCTAAGACATTCAAACATTGATTCATATAGTAAAATGATAGATTATTTCAGTTATTTATTTAAATACTTTAATATACTGGAAATAAAAGAGATTTGTATTTCAAAATACATATGTATATCACTGGTTGAAATTATGAGTCAATTGAAACTGGACCATCATAGGAAACCTGGAAGCAATGGATGGCCGTTTCATCCTAGTATGGAGTCCTAATGAGAAGCCGTTACCAGTGGAGTTCAACCATGTCTGTTGTGAGATATCAACTCACTGAAGACAATGGTGGACGGCGGCGCAACTTCGTGGATTGGTTGAATTTAGACACTAACACCGTTGGATGTCGGTTCAGTGGTCTAGTTGGTTAAGCGCCTGGCGCGAGACTGATAGGTCCTGGGTTCAAGTCTCACGGGGCGCGGGATCGTGGATGCGCACAGCTGAGAAGTCCCACAATAGGACGAAACGGCTGTCCAGTTCTTCCAGGTTTTCCATGGTGGTCTAGCTTCAATTGACTCATGATTTCAACCAGTGAAATTTCTAAATTCTCCACAAAACCCCTTCACATATGTATATGTTAAGATATATGGCGTATACATACTTTGTTAGGTCATATGAGAATACTTACCCAATTTTTAAATAAGTGAAAAAAAATGATTGAACCCCTTCATCATTTTATAAAGTTTACAATCATAGCTTTCAGAATATAACTGTTATATGGTCCCTGAAGTCATAATTCTATTTTTTAACCGTTAACCATAAACACTAGTCTTTACATATTCTTCATAACTAAAAACGTCATTGAAAACAGAGTGTCCTAATAACATAAGAACATAATTTTCACATGAAAGTTTTATAAGTGTTAATTAAATGTAGAAGCTTAAAGGCAATTACAACTTAATTTCGCTTATTTGTAAAATCTCAGCGAAAGAATATGAAGTAAATCCAACATTTCGCCTAGCAATCGGGTTCAAGCTTTTTCAAGGAATACAAATACATTCTTCCTATTTAATGACTCACATTAACTCGGCGCCCAAATATTGTGAAACTATTCGTTCGAATTTAGAAGAAAGTTCTTATTCTGCTAGAATCTTTTCATTAGAAAAAACATGACATATGAATCAGTTTACTTTTCTAATACCTAAATAATGTGATAATCCTATTGATCATCAAGTATGAAGTGAAATCATTTCAAGAAGCAAAATGAACTGATTCATATAATAAATTTCATACAACGTTAATCTTCTTTTACGATTCTAAACTGTATTCACATATTAGTGTAACATTATATTATGTGGACCTGCTACCTTGGAAACATGATTTGTCACAAACTGATTAATAGCAAATTTGTCTAGGACTTCGGTTATTTTGTTAACAGGTTACTTGCCTTTAATAAATTTACATTTTTCTTAAAGGCTAATCAAAAATGAAGAGAATGAAAGTCATAACCTATGTAGTTATATGTATATAACAGTTATCCCCTCCCAGTTTCTTAGTGTTCTTTTTTCTAAAAGTACTCAGTATCTACCTTAGAAAAAATGCTTCATTAAAATAAGATTTTGAATCAATACAAAACAATTCTCAAACACGAAGGCAAGTAGTCTGTAACATACGAAACCATATTTACTAAACAAACAAGTATTGGTTGATGATACAACAAAAGTATAAAGGCATCATAGTGTAAGCAACTGAATCAGTAAAAAATATATGTAGGATAGAAGTTGAATGTAGGAAGTTTTCTGACTGGGAATTCAGTATACCTAAAAAATATGCTTATCAGAATATCTATACCAGATATTTATGTTGAGAACAACGCTTGTTCAAGAAAAAGTTTTATGGGTAAGTGTCAGAAATCTAGTTTTTTTTAAAAATTATGATCAGATATTTAAAATGTTTTATCGTTATCCTAAAAGTTAGCAAATGTGAATGGATTTTAACAAGTCATTTTAGCTATAAAATAAACATTCAGTACTTAAGCGAAGTGATTAACTAATTAAAATAACAATTGTATGCTGACCTGTACAAATTTCTCATTAATTTAACTTATTTATAAATTGAGTGTAAACATTTTGATAATTTTTAAAAACAACACACTACATATTGTAATTTTTTGTGATTATGTAAAACTAACTACACGGGTAAAAAAGATCAGGTCAGTAACAATCTACTATGGTAGAGAAAAAACCAGCTTTCAAATGAGGAAATTCAGAAGCGATGCTGGCAGTGGATAAAACACACACATTACGGAAATCATGAAACCATATCACGAAACAATCCTCAACTTGGAAGCATGCAGGCAAAAGCAAAAGAGGAAGATCAAAGAACACATTGTACCGGAGTTGAAAGTAAATATGAAAAGAATTAATAGCAATTGGAAACAACTTGGAAAGAGATTCCAGGACGGAGCTGGTTGGATAATCCTGGTCGGTGGCCTATGTAACAGACGCAAGTAATTAAGTGACTATCAAAGTTTTTACGGTAGGTGATAAGAAGATTTGAACAAAGCATTGTGTTTGCAAAGAGTGAATAATCTAAACTTTCATTTGCATGTTCTTCCATACGTTCATCACATAGTCGAGTTTTTATAAATATGAGCTCTATTGAGAATTTAACTTCTTCCTTTTATCGCATGTTTTTCCAGGTGATTAGTAGTAAATAGTTATAAAAGTCATTATTATTTAACTGTCGCAGTGTTATCTTACAACCTTAAACATGTCTGATTTCAGATTAAGTCCTCTCCATTAAAGAGAAAGAATGTGTTTGTAAAAACTCAACGAAAGAATTTGAAGTAAATCCAACATTTCGCCTGGCAATCTGATCCAAGCTTTTTCAAGGAAAATATAATCAAGCATCAAAATTATCAAATGTAGATAAGTACATGTTTCTTCTTGAAAAAGTTTGGATCAGATTGCCAAGCGAAATGTCGGATTTACTTCAAATTCTTTCGCTGAGTTTTTACAAATACATTCTTCCTCTTTATTGTCTCACATTAACTCGGCGC